GAATTGAATCTATTTTTGAACGGGGGCATTTGTTTTGGTGGTCCAGAATGTGTGTCGGCCGAGATCACACCGCCGTAAACAATTGCGGCCGAGAATTAAGCCAAATTAAATTCTCGTGAGATGCTGCGGCGGCGGCGGCTCATTCACTAGCTCGGTTAGATAATAATTTCGGTCCATATTTCACGAGATTAGTCGCGAGCCAAAAATTGCATCCATGGGAATTGTGTTATTTTTCACGCATTGTTCGATCATCTCAGCGATTTGTGTACGCGGAAATGGGTTGACACTAATGGCCTTGGCAAAGAAAGCGTTTTGTCACGGCAAGGATTAAAAACCTCTCCAGCTATGCTTTTTACTTATGCAATTTTACTTCTTATTCTGAGAAGTGGGCCGACGACGATTTTCCCATCAAAAGTAATCATTACATCAGGCGAAATACAAATTATTTGTATATAAATGTTACGAAATTGATGCCAAATTTATAATTTACGGTTAGACACAGTTTTATGGCAAACAAAAACGGCCCGGCAATTATTAACTAGGGCTAATTTCACTTTTCCACTTTTGCTAATGATCTGCTTCCTTTCTCAAAAGTGCTTGTGCCCCAAAGGAAGAGATTAAAAAGACAGACTCTCAACTTATTTTGTTACAAGTGAATACAGACGAGTTTGTTGAACTGGAACTCAAACCTCAAATAATTATCCTGCTCTAGGATCAAAAGATTTTCATATTTTAATTTTATAGTTATAAATATTTACAATCTTTATGTTGATACAATTCATGTTTTTTTATTCCTCTATTAGAATTGCAGAATTTTTATTGTAATGATATTCACTTGCAACAAATTCTTCATTTTTTATTTATTTTTTTAATTTTAAAACTATATTATAATGTTAATTTAAAAATTAAACACTTACGTTTTTGCAAAATTTAGTTTAAAATTTTAAAACAATTTTAAACTCCAAGAATTAAAAAATATATATAATTCCTATTAGTTACATTAATTTTCATCTGGTAGCAATAAAATGCAACTTTGTAAGTCTCTTTGCTTTCCTGTTCTCTTCTCCATAAATATTCAGTGTAGAGGGCACGCCTAGGTTGACTTGCCGCGATTTGCACGGTATCGTCCGCCGATGATAAAAATTACATCGAAATCCATAAAGTCTGTGCGCTGCGCGACCCCCATTAGAAATGCAGTACATGATGTGTTTGGCCTATTTTTGCATCACGTCTCGCGCTTACGGTATCGCTCATGTTCGGATTTGTATTCTCGCAAACAGCACAAATACGTATAATATGCCTCAGCATCGCAATGATCTGTCGGTGGGAAAATGAATTCTACTGCAATTTGTCCCCTTTTATAATAATAATTTGCATTGTTGTAATTGTCACTAATTTTAAGAGAGACAAAGCCAATTGGAGACGTTCCAATTAGCACGTCCACCTGTTGCTTGAAACACTTTTTGTTCGAATTTAAATCGGCATGCAATTATTTGAATAAAAAAAACTGTTTTTCTTTCAAGCTAACAAAAGTGAATTATTGCAAGATGCATTTGCATGAAAAGTGGAGCTGTAAATTGCCGGCTTGTGAAGATAATTCAATTCGGGCCAATTTGTGCAAAACGGGGGAGAGTGAACAGAAAAACGCGGGCACAGGTCGTTGGCTTTTGCCTTATTAGGAGAGACGGACGACCTTGTCTTTGAACTTTGCGTGCCGCGAACGCGAGAGCAGGAAAATGATCATCAAAATTAAATAATTTTTATGTAAGGAAACCGCCTCATTTTCTCCGCGATGGGCGTCCAAATTATCAGTATAAAAATATATAATAAATCGGCCAAACAAGACTCGCTTTCGTAACGAGAAAACTGCGGAGGCTCAAAATAAATAAGAGATGCTTTCGATTCTTCTCGGAATACGATCTCATTTCAGCCGCACAAAAGGAATCTTAATTCTTTTTGTCTCGCTTTACTTTTCTTTATTTTCCATTCTGCTCTGGAATTCTCTTCGCAATAAGGAGGCGAGAGAAATAAATGGAAAACCATACAAATATGGCATTGCGAAAGTTCAAAAGGAAAAATAACGCATCAACTATTCTCAAAAACTGGAAGCTGCAAATATTGTTTAAAAATGACAAGATTTTATTGAAGTGACAGAAAATCAAAATGTTTAATTTTATCATTAACAAATTGATTGGAAAAACTTTTTAATAAAAATCTCCGAAATGAATATTTTTTGTTAATTTAAATAACTTACTGTTTCTCTTAATCCTTTACTTAAAATGTCATTAAATTTTAATTTATTACTAAAAAATGGTATCCGCTTAAATTATAAAAAGATTGATATAGTTCAAAGCTCCCTGCTCTTTTGTAAAAAAATCCACTTTTATCACATTTCAGAAGCTCTTATTTGAATTTAATGATAAAGGTGTGAGTTCCATTTATGGTCATTTGAGGACTTTTTACTCTCCTTTTTTTAATGTATTGAGCATTAGTATCTCACCAATCAAAAGAACATCATGTGCCTTTTTTATATCTCCTGCGAAATGGAAATCCCTGGAAATAATTTTCACAAGATATGATCTTCAATAAAAATGACTAACGGTGATTTTGTGGGCGTTAAATTAAACAGCAGCGTTCAATTAATTTCGCTGCAATTAAGTGGCTGCAAGAGTCGCTTCCTTCACTTTTCAATTAACGACAAACGCAGGCATTATCTCTGTAAAAAGCTGCAGCGTGCATTTGACTCTGTCAGCACAAATGCAATTGTAATTGGCCATTAAAGAGTAATGAGCTGATTTGCATAAGTAAGGAGCACCCATCGCTTCTTAATTAAATGCAATTCGAGGAGACGTCGGAGCAATTAATTAGGATTGATTCGCCGGGCCGAGGAATTTCAATTGTGGCTTCGCGGAAAGTCCGAGGCATTCTTCTCTCGTTTGCTGATTGCCATTTTCGAGAGAGTGGCCCCCGCGCACATAATGATGCATTGAATTAATTGGACAGAGATTACGCGGCAGAACGAGATCAAAAAGCCAAATTCAAAAAAGCAGCGCAGCCTCTCGGTACTGTTACTCCAATTTCGGTTTATTAATTATCATTGTCCGGCCACACTTTTTCTCATTTCGGCAACTGTACACCCATTTTCCGAGAAGCCACACGCGCCTCTCGAAATTAGAAATTTCGCCAAACATTGTTCCCTCTCGCATTTGCATTCTGAAATTCTGCGCCTAACTGTTCACACCACGCCTTAATAAGGGCATTCGATTCAGCGTGCAATTTTTTTTTTTTAATGAAGATCGCCTTTCAAATGTAAAAACCGCAATTCTGCTTTAATTTATGTAATAATAATTTGTTGCCGCTCGACGCAATTAGAGCTTGAAGGATGCATATTTGAGACAAAAATCTCCAAGATTAAACGTGATTAATTAGAGTGCGCGCACACCTCGTGGTCTCCAATTTCACAGCCGACGGGGGGCACAGGTTATTTCCAACGTCGGCGAATTCAGCGCATGCATAATAATAATGATATGCAATGGTAATTTTTCAGAAGGTTGTTCTCACCATTACCGAGCAGGGTAAAAAATTAAAAGATGCTGCCGAGATTGTATGCGAGCCGCGGCCGAGGAGCGCCGCAAATTATTAATTAGCGCCGGTCTAATATCTATGAATGGCATCGCGGCGAGGGGCAAAATATTCGAGAGTGAAGAAGAAAAAAGCAACAATTACAATGATATGACACACTGGCCGGCAAGAATAATCTTTTGAGACAGAAACCCCGGAAGAGTTTCAATAAAAAGCAGAATACATCATTTAATATTATATGCAGCCAATTCTTCATTCTTCTGTGAATTTTTTTTTAAATATTGAATTTATATTAAAACTTGTCTGAAAATTTTAATTGTATTGATTAAAAGAAAGTAAAGACAAAAATAAAGTCTGGATGCTAAACATAATCAGTTTCTGCTAGGAATAAGAGCAGAAAATACAAATTTTGCATTATTTGAAATTATCATGCAAGCGTCCAGCAAAACCTTTGAATTGGTTATGTTGTGCACAATGTTTAAATTTTGAGATTTCGTATTGTTTATTCTGAATCAGATGAAAAATTAAAAAGTATTCACTTTGAAAATATGATCTTGATATGTAAATTGATTGCCTCAGTGATCATTTTCATCTAAAGTGCAAATTTGGTTAAACAATTTTAATAACTCTTTATTTTAAATTGGTAGCAAAATATGAATTCCTCTACAACTAAGAAAAAAAGCAAGTTTTAAATAAATAAGACAAATTTTCAGCAAAAGTATATTCTAAAGTTCATAATAACAACAGAATTACAGACTCTGATCCTATCATTTGATTCTAGAGTCCAAAATTTGCCTTGAAATAGTAAAATTATTTTATATTAAAAAAAACGGCTCTATCTAAGGAATTGTGTAAACTGCTTTATCAATTGTAACATGCTTTTGAGAAAAAAAATAATTTGAATATATTAAAATAAATCTGGAAAACACACAAACAAAATGTAAAGAGTTGCAATAAAGATCTTGTTTTTTTTTTTACGAAAATTTTTGAATAATGCCAAAATTTTAATTATTTTTTTCATTTAGTTTCAGTATAAAAAGTAGAGAATTCGCCCATTTTACACTCCTCTTAATAAAATTCAAATAAAAAGTGAACCAGAACAATTTTTAAACTGTCATCAAATAATACACAAGTTCACAATATTTTTATAATATTTGATTTTCTATTGACGAAATTTGCATCAAATCCTGATTAACAATCCTTTTCAAATCAAACCCCACCTCACCTTCAGCCAATTTGAATAAAATTCCAGGTACATCCCCAACTGAAATTTCAGCAAACCAATGAGACGCGGTGTTGGAAAAAACGGGGCAGAATGTCTCGAGGGGCAAGAATGAGCAAAGCCGGTCTCGGAGTCAACATCCATCGAGTCCTTCCCCCCCCCCTCCCGCACGCATGCAGAGTACAGTTGCTGCTTTGCCCGGGCTCAGGTACCGAGTCAGGTTCAGTCTTCTGCCAGCGGCCTACCTGAGATCAGTGCACCTGCCTTCGTCTGCTGGTGGTGCCGGCGAGGAGCGAAAAACACACTCACAACAAACCTCATCGCACACACAGACACAAGTGAGTCCATATTTTGTTGATTACGTACAAGGATAATATAAATGATTTATCAATGAAATTAAATTGCCTCGGACCAGCAGAATTTATTATAATTCTAAAAGATGGTTTTTAAATTGGAAGATTTATTGATTCTGCTAGGGTTAAGTTATAATTTCAATTAAAACCTGTCAGTTTGAATGAAGCAAACATTGTAATTTAAATTTAAAAGAATCAATTCTTTTTTAAGTGTTAAAGTCTCCGTTGAAGACGCAAAAGAATTTCTTCTTTATCAGCAGTTGCGCAAAAGGTGCTTCGAACCACCTGAAAATTTCGTCCCTAACAAAAAGTCTAGACGTTTTTATTTTTATTTATTTTTACCCTGTAGTAAATGCGTCTCAAGGCCGCGACTTTTGCACAAAAGAAAATTTATATATTTCGCTGGAAAAAAAACACAAGGCTCGAAACTTGTGGGGCATAGATAATTAATTTTGCGCAGGCATAACGACTTCCTCCGACATACGCTTGGGAATTCAGCTCCGAAGCATGCCATGCAGGCCAATTAGTTCTCCCTGCGTATAAAGAAAAGAAATAAAAAAGCTGTGCACGGAATATTATTATGATCGCTTCTCTACATTTCGTGATTGACATTTTCATTAGCCTGGGAGAGAAAAAATTGGCAACTCCCGCTGCTCATTCCTGCACACACAAAGAAAGCCCGAATTCTTGGTGATTTCCTCCTAAATTGGGAAGATAAATAACTTCTCTAATTTAAGATGTGTTTTGCCATCGACAGGGGGCACTAAACTTTACCCGCTAACTCTTGAGCAAATTTTGTCCTTTCCTGGAGTTGTGTGCAGAAATCATTTTGCACCTTATTAATTGAGTTTGCCATTCTACTGGGGTCAACAAATCCAACCAACTCGCAGTGTCAAAGTTGTGAGAACAAACACAATGCGCGGCAATTAAACGAAAAAGCAGCCAAGAGTGAACAAGTTTTATTTTTTTATCTCTGCGATCGCCTCTTCAACCGACGAGAGTCCCTTTAATGAAATAAATGGTGATGTCACTCTCATTTCCATTTTCAAGTGCATTGTGTTAAAATTGCGCGCGACCTTGCAACACCTCCTGCTTTTCCTCCTCGCGTCCCCCGCAATGCAAATCGCGGAGAACAAGTTTCAATACCGATGTTCTTCACACACCTCTAAGGAAAGAAATTCAATCTGCGAGTCGCATCGGAGGTTAAGTGAGGACAAGCACATCCAATACGATTTGCATATGAATGGAATTTCCCATGCACGTGATTTGTTTCAATTTTTCTCTTGTGTACATATTTTGTCGCCGAAAAAAAAGAGACAAAAACGTTCACAAGTCACCCTGCATGACGACGACGACACACAAATCATTTCACGCTTCCTTTCTTTCAAAAAAATGTTTTAAATAATTGTTTTGGAAAGGAAGTGCAAACCTATCTAGATTGGCCAAATTTGAAAAGACTTTTAAAAGAAACCTGTAAAGTTCATGGAAAATTTGTAGGTTTATAAAGGAATTTTTTTATCTTGATGAAACAAGTTTAGAGCAACTTCTAATCACTTCTAATTATTTGTGTTTTTGTTGTTACATGAATACCAGTTTCCTAATTGATTTTTCAAGAGAAATTTAATGTGCATTCAAAAACTGAGTGGGAAAACCAATGCTCGGAAAACTAATTTAAATGTCAAAATCTCAAATTTTTATTGGAAATCTGAATTTGTTAAATACAGATTAGGATTTCTGTTCCCAAACAAATCTGTTTTTTAGCTTTCAAAAGACAAAATTGTGTTGCCGTTTGTTTAGATTTTGGAAAAAATTATTTAAAATTAAGTTTCCAATTAAACGTTTATTTGTACATTCAATTCGTTTGCCGGGCATCGGCTATCTCGCTCAGTTTTTGAATCCACATAAAATTTCTTTTGAAAAATGCTAATTTACGTTTCATCTTGAGTTTTCGATCAGGAATATTCACTACTTTTTTTTATCTCTGATGCAAAAGCAATAAATCAAATTGAACAAATTCGATCACGCTTGCGTTCGGAGGATGCGAAAATTACATGCATTTCGTCGGACAAACAGGAAGCAAAACAAGAAATACGGCCTGGCTCCGGCATAAGTACCGCGCGGCCAGTATGTTTTTCATATAAAGCGACTGTTATTACCTCGTGATTGCGCGACGATGCTGCCTTATTTACGGAGAGTAAGTAAAATAATTCAAAAAGCCGCTTGCTTTACGACCGCACAAATCTCCAGGCTTTGAGAATTTCCAACTAAAACGTAATTCACACTCGCATCTGTTTCCTCGGGCCAATGCCAAGAAAAGTGCATTTTGAAAGAAGAAAAAAATTATTACCATTTTGACCGCAAAATTAACAACATTTCACACCTATTTCCGTGGCCATTATTGTAGTTAAGCGGCGCAATGGAACGGGTTCGGAATTGATAGGGAAGCTATAATAAAATCGCGAGTTTTCCTTCAAAGGGCTTTGCGGCGCGAGCACAAAAAGTGGCTGCACAGTGGCTGAAAAACTAGAGTTAGATCCGTTACCGCACAGCGCATAGTGGTGAAACTCGTATGTGCTGAGAAACGCAAGTCAGGCGATACGTGCAGCCATTCGTTCTGCCGCAAACGAAACAATATCATCATAAAATTCAGTTTTTAAAACACATTTTATTAAAATTCACTTAAGAATGATTGTATCTTTTCAATCCTAGATTCAAAATTAAGAATGCTGGCGTTTGGAAAAATATGTCCAAGAATGGTGATCAAAGATTTGTAAATTAGGCAATTCTTGGAGTTTTTGCAATTCTTTCGTCGCCTGACTGAACCAATTTTGATTTTTCCAACGTCAGTGTTTCTAATTCTGAATCTAGGATTGAAAAGATGATTCTAAGAACCAATGATATTGAATCACACAACTGGTGAGTTAATTCAAATAAAAAATGCACCGATACTTTTGTGAAACAATTCTGACGAGGAAGATGTTTGAGGAATTTGTAACAAATTGCTTTGTTGGGTAACAAAAACGTCTTCATCTTCCAGCTGATCTTGAGAAATGAGATTTTTGCACTTAAGACGGCGCCGTTTCATGTCAAAACAAAAAAACAGTCATATTTTTTGATTGATGAGACCTGATTTACGGTTTCCTCTTGAACTATTTCTCTTTTCGTTAATTTCCAAGAGATGATTAACACTCTGGAAATGCATTTTTACGATTCCTCCGAGTGAGACTTTTGAAAAAGATAAAGTCGTGCGTTTTAATCTCGGCAGACCTGACCACACTACAGAAGGTCGATGGCCACCGATATGGAAGATCCTTGAGAAGTACGTTCTGATGAATATCCGCCGAGTCGGAAGAAAAATGCAACGTGGCCCCCATTGTTTTTCAGTAGCTGCACTTCTTCTTCTTCTTGTCTTGATAAATTTAAATTATATATGTATGAGGAGCCGCGAGCGGAATTTCTGCACAAAAGAGCGGGAGGAAGTTGAGCTTTTGTAATAACCGATAAATCATTCGTAATAGAGTTATGAGAAAGAGAGAAAGAGAAGTGCAGGATAATGCAGGTGGTCCATTCGGGTAAAAAGAGCAGCTTTTTCTCGTGGCCATTGTTTGCCGATGGCGCGATACGAAAATAATGTAGGAAAACGTGTGTGCGGAGCTTCTTTTCGTTGTGTGCAATCAAGTCGCGAAATCACCTCTGCTCTCCGAACGGTGGCGAGGAATGCTTTGGATGTAAAAACACGCGCGCTGAACACAAAAATTGCTGCGCCACCGATTTGAGAGTTAAGAAGAAAAGTGACGCCGCGCTTTGTGCGCGTGGAATTCGTTTATTAGGATGGCGCGCGAGATAATTCCACGCGTCTCTCTCCTTTCCTTTTCGGGACTGCCGACCGGCGCGAGTGAATTTGCAGTGTTATTTTTCTGGAAAAGCCAATTTTCTTAGAAAAAACTATTAAATTCGTATCAAGCTCAAATTAGATGAATGACGGCAAAATCTAGACATTATATACTGAAACAAAAAATATTTGCAATTCAATTTGAATTTATTTTAAATATATTAATTTAATTATTTGTCCAAATTATAACATCACATTGTTTACATTCAATTGTCGTTGTATTTGAAAAATTCAGCAGATTTTGATAATTTCAAAATATTTTGAAACAAAAATGCGAGTGCTGGTCTTTCGAGTCAATGAACTTTGCTTGAAAGCTTATTAAAAAGTCTTAGTTTTTGAAAAGTCAAAATCTGCGAGTCACGAGTCCCGCCTACACAATTTCAAATTTAATTCTAGATCTTGATTCGCGAAAATTATTCCAAGCAACATTTTATTCTCAGTTAATCGAAGCTGCCTTATCGAGCCGCAGATCGCTCCTTGCAAGAGGCGAAGGAGGTAATTAATGGCGCGGCTGATAAAGACGTTTTGCTCTTTATCTCGGCTGCAACAAGGTTCGAGCATGTCCAGCGAGTTAACGGAAAATCGTCACAAGGGACAGTTTTAATAAATACGTCAGCCTCGTGCAATAAAAATGTATTGAAACGGGAGCCGCTGCTGAGGTAAATTACAAGATTCCTCTCGCCTGATTGATACAACAAGAGCAATTTCTGCTGTTTATCGTTACAATTATCTCTGGGATTGCCAACAGCTCATAAATTATGGCGTGGGGCGAAGAGAGTGCGAAAGGAATAAAATTCGCGCCGCTTCGTTAAGAATGAAAGGAGGAGTGCACGAAGAAAAGTGTGAAATTTGGGTGCGGTTTGTTGATGGCTCATTTTGAGGTTTGCTCCAAGGTTTTTGTAAACACGGTTATTTTTTATTTGGAACGTGCAGAGCTATTTATAATCTGGAATAAGTTCATTGGCAAACATAATTAATTGTAATTCTTTGAAAAGATATTTATAATTTTTTTCCATTTCTTTTGTTAAATCGTCAGAATTTAAAAAGTTAATTCTAATTATTTAGTATTATAAAGTTAATTATCATTTTTGGC